CAAGTTTCAAGCTGCTAAAAAATTCCGTTGATTTTTGACAATTTTTTTTTGCTGGCACTGTCCCCATATAAAATAAAATTGTCGAACATTCTTTGTATGGAAAAAACGTGAAACACCTTCAACCGAAAAAATTCTCAAAAATCAACGGAATTTTTTAGCAGCTTGAAACTTGCACTTCTTCAGACTAGAATTGAATGAGCTACAAAACTGCATACCAACATATTTTCTAAAGATTCTGGTTAAATAGTTTGAAATTTTGGTGAAAATTTGCAGAATTTTTATAATTTTTGTACAAACTTGAAAATGTAAATTTATATGGTGTTTGTTGTATTACCAGCTAGGCTTTTACAAAAAAATACGAAACATTAAATAAACTAAAGACAAATAGCCAAAACAGGTTAAAATATCCCACTCCTATTATTTTGTGGACAACTGTACATGCAGATATTTTAACGTAATTATTTATTATTGCGGTGTTGATTACTAATATAGATGACATAGGAATATAAAATAGAAAACGTTCGTTATTTACCATATTTTGTTCTATGTTAACAAATTGATCAAAGATATCAGGCTATGGACCTTATCAACTGCACTCCTCCAAAAAACTAAATGTTTTGAGTACAACGTGGTAAAGCAAAATTTTACTTAATCTATCAATGGTATATACTATATATGTAAGTTATAAGCTTTATGCATACGTATGTAAGTATAAAAATCCCATAGGCATATTAATATTTTTAAAAGTTATAAGTAATTAAAGGCATTGAGCAGTCTTCGATTTGAACGAAACTTGAAATTAAATAAGCTGGCAAGGGCATACGATTACAAAATGCCTTTGCTTGATTATAAACATATCAACTTACGTTACAGTTTTCCTTAACCATAACTGCAATTACGCATAATTAATGCAGAATGCCGTTCAAAAAACTCAGAGCAACTGAATGACGTATACGTATTGAATTTGTCGCTATGCAGCAATGTTCAAGTGATCAAGGAGTGCAATGGCAATTTCGTTGAGGATCCACAAAAGCTGAACTTGGAGCAGGTATAAACACGGAAACACGCAATTTGTTTAAAATAGAGTATGAAAAATTTCTGACAATAATTATTTAAAACTTTTATTTTTTAGTTAAAAATAAGACTGCGCAATACTGTACAGCAACGACAAACTTATCTTAAGTCGAGGAATGCTGACGTTAGCCTAGAGGCACAGGAGTTATACAGAACAATTGCAAAGCAATTCAAGGTTGGTTATGAAATTTTAAAATTTATATGTGGAAGCAAGAAAAACTCACAGTTTTAATAAATATAGTAAATGTAAGCTTTTACATGATAAACGCATCGAAAGAGTGTCACAATCCGTTTTTATTGTCAAAATTAATAAAATAGAGCTAAATATGCTCCATTATTAGCTCGCGTTTTAAATTGTGACAATCTTTTAATAAATGCAATATACATTTACATCTATGGTTGCATTTACGAAGGACGGAGAAAAGGGGAGGAATGAAATCTCTTGGTGCGAAAATGGTAGAGAAAAGTATGCAAAGTAGGCAATTAGTAGTGAAATTCCTTTTGTAAATTCTAAAGTTTTTGCAGGAAATCTAGCATTTTAAACGAAATTTTGAACGTAATATTGATGTATCTATGTAATTTACGTAATTTATGTGCTATTTAGCTGTATAAAAAATGCAAAATGACTCAAAATTAAAATAAGACTACTATGAGATTGATGTAAACATCCCATTTAAAAACAGTTTATGCTTTCATCAGTTAAATATGCTTCATATGCATATACAAATAAACATATTGCACAAACGCTCATACTTCTATATCACACCAAAGCTACACTGTTTCCATGTAAATGTGCAAAGAAGCAACACGGTGCCACTGCTAAGGGAGCGGTGCGAGAGAGACAACTGTCAGTTTATCGAACCTTGTATTATTGAATCATGTACAAAATTTTTGACAATGCTTTACCGGAAGTACAGGGTGACTGGTGATGCTTTTAAAATGATTGTTCTATTAACCCTTCAAAGGAACATTTGTGCTGAACGTAATGGAGCAATTGCGCTGTCACAAGTCGATGGCAGACTTAAGCCTGGTTCAAGAACTGAATGTTTATTTACCGGGTTATGCTTATTAAATAATTTCTATCACCGAATTCGCACTGAATCGGCAAATAGCCCAACAAATTTACAAAATTCATAAATCAAGTAAAACAATGACTTTAGATTTTATATTGTATATATTTTTAATGTTTTTATGGTCTTTTCTATTAATTTGCTGGCACAGGAGAACCTGAAGCCGCATTACTAGATGAAGATGCGCCTACTGAAGCCGAAGGTGCTGATGAAGACAACGACGACGACGTGGACGAAGAGGCTGATGATGTACCCGCAGCAGCCGAACTATTTTCCTGTGATGCACTCTCAAAGAATTTTTCAATCTAGATGGGGAGGGAAATGATAAGTTAAAACATTCTTAGATAGCAACAGTTTATCGTTAGTAAAAAATTTAAATTATGGTTACCATTTTCTTGATGTAATTACATAGAGACTTGTTGTTAGAAGTAGAAATAACATTTTCCACCCTATAAGGTGGCGAAACAGTGACTTCATTGAATATTTGAATGTTTGGTCCATGCCAAGATACTTCATTAACCTAAAAAAAATAATAAAGGATAAGTATTTATAGAAAGATTTATTCAAGCAATAGGGTGCA